TCTGATGAGGAATTGAGTAGCCCCGTGAGGCATCTCTGTGTCCCCAGAACTGTCCTCTGGCTCACCCCCCGCCCAAACAGCTCTGTCCAGCATTGACGTTTACATGGTGGAGCTTACTGTTCAGGGTGTGAGTGTGTGTTTCTGCAAGTGAATGTACCCATGTTTATGTTGGTGCGTTATGTGTGTGTCTACACGTGTATGAATAGGTCAGTGTGTGCATATGCAAGTCTGTGTGTGTATAAAGGAACAGGGAAGGAATGTGACCTTTGTCTGCCAACCCTACTGTCTTCTAGGAGGAGCTGGACATCCAGTTCTAGGTCAGGGCACCAGCAGGAATCTCGGCCTCCACAGGCAGCTCAGACTTGCCAAGACCATGGACAGGGCTGAGTCACCGCCGGAGAAACAATGTCAACACAGGAGACTTTTTACATGTCACTCCCTTTTGTCCCAGAGCCAGCAGAGCCCTGGCGCAGTCCTGGCCAACCCGGAGCCATGCTTCTAGCTGAGGATCCTGGCAGAGAGGGTGTCTCCATATTCAACTCTTGTTCTGCAGAACATCTCAGCTCATCGGTAAGGCATGTGGGCCCAGGATGCAGAGCCCTCAGCGAAGGCCGACCCGGGGGGAATGCCGCTCTCTAGGCAGAGCCAGTGTGCCCACAGGGTGGGTTCCCTGCACCCACGTCCTCGGGTTACAGCACAGAGGACGCTTGTTCCCTCCTCAGCTGGTTCTGGAGCCCAGAGACAATCTGGACCCTGGATGATTATTGCCACCTCGCTCTAGTGCTCATCCATCTGGTCTACCTGTTCTCAAGCCACCCTGGGGCAGTGGAGCCACAATTAGGTCACTGACAGGGAGGTCAGTCCACACGGCAGTTTTGAGCACTTTGTGTGGGTGAAGAAGGAGTGATGTCTGCCCGGGATGCTAGGTCCAGCGCCCTGAGGAGGCCGCAGCTCACGTTGGGGCAGGTCCTCTGCAGGGGTGCCGGCCGTGTCACTTCCCACCTTTCCTCTCTGCAGGGTAGCGAGTGGCATGCTAAACTCCCATCTGACATTCGCTCAAGGGTTGCAGTATTGGGAATTTCCTGGTAGTCCAGTGTTAGGACTCAGCCTTTTCACTGCCGTGGCCTGGGTTCAATTCCTGGTCAGGGAACCAGAATCCTGCAAGTTGTGCAACATGGCCAAAATTTAAAAAACAATAAACAGGGCTGCAGTATTGAATGCAGTTCAAACACATATTTTTATGCAGATATATTTCCAGCCCATGTTTTTCTAGCCACAGGTGTCAGTCATTATTCGCTGTGTAACAAACACCCCAAAAGTTAGCAGGTTAAAATGCTAACTATTCTATTTGCAGCTGTTCTATTTGCTCACAGTCCTCTGGGTGACCAGGTGGGCTAAGCCGGGCTCCTTGGTTTTTGACTGGTCTCTCCTGGGGTCACTCAAGAGGCTGTGATCGCTAGGACTCCACTGGGACTGGGAAGGTCAGGTCAGCCCCACCGGTGCAACTGGTGGCTCCTGGTAGCTGTGGGCTGGACCTCGTGCTGGCCAGGGCTCCTTCACCAGTCAGGCAAGGTCCAGAAGGGTGAGTGCAGAAGCCAGGGCTTCTCAGAACCGGTACATCATTCTCCCACATGACAGTGTGGGTCAAAGTCAGGCAGGCTGCCAGGCCCCACCCTAAAGTGGAGAAAGAGACTCCTCCTCTCAATGGGAGGGACAGGTGTCACCGTGCAAAGGAGGGGTGTGGGGAGAGGAGAGGGATTGGTAGCCCAGTGGTCTCCAACATTTTGGCTCCAGGGATCTGTTTTGTGGAAGACAGTTTTTCTATAAACCAGGAAGGGGGAATGGTTTAGGCAGTAAAGCAGGCAATGGGGAGCAACGTTGGGGGGGCGGGATGGGGAGGCACAGGGGAAGCTTTGCCTGCTTGCCAGCCCCTCACCTTCTGCTGGGCAGCCCAGTTCCTAACAGGCTGAGGACTGGGGGTGGGGACCCCTGCTGTAACCCATGTCTACAAACAAGCTACTGTACCTCCAACGGGTCAAGATATTATGGAACGAAGGAGACATGCATGATTCACTCATGTGCACATATGCACATGTGAACACATACACACTGTGGGTGTCTACACATTTGCAGTCCTCTGTTTATTTAGCCCCACTGCCGGCCAAGAAGTGCTCTGGAGCCTTTGTGAGATATTCTATCATGTTCTTAGCACTAACAGCACTGGTCTCTGGTTTGGAAATGGAGAGAGCGGAGCACAGACGTTAGAGACTGTAGGATGGTATGGACAGCCCCCCTGGGCTTGGGCCATAGCCATGCGACCTGCAATACTCATCTTGGTCAACCCAGAGGCATAGCAATTGCCAACTTTAGCATTTGGTTTTAAAAAAATATTACATAAGATAAATTTTAAATATATGTTACTTCTCAACCCTAAATCCAGGCTGCGCAAGTTTGTTGTTGTTGTTGAGTTGTTCAGTTTTGTCTGATTCTTTTGCGACCCCATGGACTGTAGCCCGCCAGGCTCCTCTGTCCATGGGGTTTTCCAGGCAAGACTACTAGAGTGGGTTGTCATTTCCTTCTTTGACCCAAGGATTGAACCCATGTCTCCTACCTTGGCAGGCAGATTCTTTACCATGGAGCCACTGGGGAAGCCCCATGTAAGTTTACATATGGTGAATAAGCCCACATGTAAGGGTCATCAGCACGCTGGCCTCTCCTGCTACGCAGCTGGGACCCTTCCTCAGCTCACACGAGGCACAGGGGATACGGTCTGCCTCTTCTATGCCCCGACCCTCTCCCACCCCCTCAGCCCTTCATCACCTGCCTGCCCAAACTGTGACCTGGGACCAGCAGCAGCAGCATCAGAGGGCACTTGCTAGAAACACAGATCTCCAGCTCTGACCCAGACTTGCTGAGCCCGGCTCGGCTGTCTGCAAATCCCTGAGGGTTTCGTGTGCATTAGAGTTTGGCGAGTGTGGCTTTAACAGGTGTTTCAGTAAGAAAAGCCGACTCAGCTGCTCCTTTAACATTATTGAACTCAATTTGTATTCTGTACATTATTAGTGAATAAAACAGTTTTCAGCATCCCCTGGTGAATCCACTGTACCACCAACTCTGAGAATCACCTGGACCTGGGCCACTCAGAGGGAGGCAACAGCATCAGCTCGGTGCCTGGTGGGGACGCAGCGTCCCATGCCCCAATCTGCTGCCCCAGAGCCTGCATTTACCAGCCCCCAGGAGATGCGTATGGTCACTGAGCTGAGCCAGCTCTGCTAAGCCTTGGTCCTGTCTGCTGGGCTCAAGCCCGAAGTTTGTCATCTCCCTTGTCTCCACCTGCCTGCCATCCCTCCCCTGCACACTACATGCAATTTGTCACCAGCAAACCACCGTGGTCCCTTGTGTTCACACATGCAGTAAGTCTCCTACATATGAACCTTCAGATTGCTCCCTTTCAAAGAAGCAAATGTGCATTTGCATGTCCAGTCACGTACGTTACTTCACGTTGTCTGGTGTACATTGTCACGTGCATGCATCCTCTACAGATGGTTGGGCTTTTGTGTGTTTTACTGTATGTTACTGTACAGAGTACAGTAATACGATATCTTTATTTCAAGTCCAGGATGTTTGAAAGCAAGCATGAAAGCATGATGTACTTTTCAAGGTACCGTACTATAAGATTTAATATGATTCAATTTTTTTATGTATTATTTGTGTGAAAAGCACCATAAACTATTACAGTACAGGACTGCACAGCTGATTGTGTTAGTTGGGTACTTAAGCTATGTTTGTTGAACTTACGAAGAAACTGGACTTACAAATGCACTCTTGGAATGGAGCTTGTTCACGTGTAGGGGACTTACTGTACACACGGTCTGGTCTTCCCATCCCACTGCATCCCATAATACCCCTTGGCACTCTTCTTGTTGACAGGTGGATGACAGTCACTGGCTGGGTGGAGGACCCACCACAGGATATCACCTTTGCCCACCTTCACCTGGAGGCTGGAAAAGTTAAACCCTCCTCCTTACCCCAGGCTTTCTTATAACCTAGAGAGGTCACACACACAGCTTCAGGCCCAAGACAGCTGTGGGCAAACGTCTTCTGGAGGGGCTGTGTCCACCTCTCCCACCTCTTGCCTTGATCTCAGATGTGATGTCTGGAGCTGAAGCAGCCACCTGGGAACCAAGAAGTGGGAAAGACATAGCCCTGACTCCACCAAGTTGCCAAGTCCCAACCTCCCACCTCGCTTATATCACATCAGAAAAATAACCCCTATAGTTCAGCTCCCATGCCCCTGGTTCTCTATTATTGTTGCTGCTTCATTTTGAACCTATGAACTCACACAATTCTTTAAACAGCTACTTTTATTTTGCACACAAATAAGGAAAAGGAGAAAATAAGACATGTAAAGGCTAAAGGTTGGATCCAAATCAGTGTTGCCACTGATTTCTGCATAAATTTGGAGAAGTTGTTAGACCTGTAAGGACATGAAACTTCTGTTTTTCTCACATGTTCCCTTTTATCTCTGGAGAATGATGGAACTGAACAAAATTCCCAAGACCAAGAATTCAATCACATTATAATGAATGCACCCACATAATGTGCAAAATCGGTGCTATTAATCTTTGCCCCAGTTTCTGACTATGGGCCTAAGATAGCATCACATTCTACAAGATACTTTTGAGAAACAATGTGACTTGTGACTCACACATACTTGATGAGATGTGGCAGGAGTTACTCCTGAGGCTATATCAGAAGAGTCCACATCAATTATTTGCTAGTAATTAGAACCTTAGAGCTCCAATTAATATAGGTCTTTTTTTTATTGTGGTAAAAATATACAACATAAAATTTACCATCTGGACTACTTTCAAGTGTACGGTTCAGTAGTGCTAAGGGTATTCTCATTGTTGTCAAACAGATCTCTAGAACTACTCAAAAAAATTTTTTTTTTTTTTAGGATCGAACCTCCTCAGTTCCAAACCTCCCCAGTTCGCTACCTAAGTTCTCTCTCCACTTCATCCTTTATTTGCATTTTCACAGTAATTCCAAGAAGGAAGTGGGGAAGCATCGTCTTCATTTTACAGCTGTGAAGGCAGCGGTAGAGTCAGGTGGCCTCACCCGCACCCCCTGGGCTTCTGGGTCATCTGGTACCCACCCCCACTTGTGCCCAGAGATGGGTTCTCCTGAGCACAAGAAGCAGCCAAGCAACCCTTGCCACAGTTGTGTCTTTGTTTTATTGAAGCATAATTGACATATAACATTATGTCACTTTCAAGTGAGCAGCATATGATCAACATTTGTATATATTGTGAAATGATCGCAATAGGTCTAACTGACATCCATCACAGGCATACTTGCCACGTTTCTCTTGTGATGAGAACTTTTAAGATCTACTCTCTTAGCAAGCTGGAAATATACAATGCAGTACTGTTAACCACAGTCACCATGCTGTACATTACATCCCATAACATTATTCTTATAACTGGAATTTGTAGCTTTTGACCCCCTTCACCCATTTTCTCCACCCCTCCACCACTGCCTGCCTGTGGCAACCACCAGTCTATACTGTATCTATGAGTTTGGAGTTTGTTCATTTTTGTTTTTGTTTTTCTTCAGATTCCACATACAAGTGAGATCCTATGGTATTTATCTTTCTCTGTCTTATTTCACTTAGTATAGTGCCCTCAAGTTCCATCCAAGTTGCTGCAGGATTTCCTTCTTATTATAGCTAAATAATATTTCATTGTATATATGTGTGTATATATTTATAGCTATATATGTGTCTATAGCTATACATATATCACATCTTCTTTATCCATTTGTCAACTGCTTCCATTTCTTGGCTATGGTAGATAATGCTGTAATGAATACAGAGATGCATATATCTTTTTGAGCTACTGTGTTCATTTTCTTTGGATAAACCCAGAAGTGAAATTGCTGGATTGTATGGTAGTTCTATTTTTATGTTTTTAGGAATCTCCATTCTGTTTTCCATAGCAACTGTACCAATTTACATTTCCACCATCAGTGCACCAGTTCCCTTTTCTCCACATCTTCAACAACTGATTTGCCGTCTTTTTGATAAGAGCCATTCTGATAGGTGTGAGGTGATGCTTCATCAGTCAGTCAGTTCAGTCACTCAGTCGTGTCCGACTCTTTGCGAACCCATGGACTGTAGCAAGCCAGGCCTCTCTCTCCATCACCAACTCCCAGAGCTTACTCAAACTCATGTCCATAGAGTCGGTGATGCCATTCAACCATCTCATCCTCTATCGTCCCCTTCTCCTCCTGTCTTCAAACTTCCCCAGCATCAGGGTCTTTTCAAATGAGTCAGTTCTTTGCATCAGGTGGCCAAAGTATTGGAATTTCAGCTTCAGCGTCAGTCCTTCTAATGAATATTAAGGACTGATTTCCTTTAGGATGGACTGGTTGGATCTCCTTGCAGTCCAAGGGACCCTCAAGAGTCTCCTCCAACACCACAGTTCAAAAGCATCAATTCTTCGGCACTCAGCTTTCTTTATAGTCCAAATCTCACATCTATGCATGACTACTGGAAAAACCATAGCATTGACTAGATGGACCTTTGTTGGCAAAGTAATGTCTCTGCCTTTTAATATGTTATCTAGGTTGGTCATAATTTTACTTCCAAGGAGCAAGCATCTTTTAATTTCATGGCCTCAGTCACCACCTGCTGTGATTTTGGAGGCCCCCCAAAATAAAGTCAGCCATTGTTTCCACTGTTTTACCATCTATTTGCCATGAAGTGATGGGACTGGATGCCATGAACTTAGTTTTCTAAATGTTGAGCTTTAAGTCAACTTTTTCACTCTCCTCTTTCACGTTCATCAAGAGGCTCTTTAGTTCTTCACTTTCTGCCATAAGGGTGGTGTCATCTGAGGTTATTGATATTTCTCCTGGCAATCTTGATTCCAGCTTGTGCTTCCTCCAGCCCAGCGTTTCTCATGATGTATTCTGCATATAAATAAGCAGGGTGAAAAGATACAGCCTTGACATACTCCTTTTCCTATTTGGAACCAGTCTGTTGTTCCATGTCCAGTTCTAGCTGTTGCTTCCTGACCTGCATACAGATTCCTCGAGAAGCAGGTCAGGTGGTCTGGTATTCCCATCTCTTGAAGAATTTTCCACAGTTTGTTGTATTTCACACAGTCAAAGGCTTTTGCATAGTTAATAAAGCAAAAAAGTTTTTCTGGAACCTTCTTGCTTTTTCAATGATCCAATGGATGTTGGCAATTTGATCTCTGGTTCCTCTGCCTTTTCTAAATCCAGATTGAACATCTGGAAGGTAATGGTTCATGTACTCTTGAATCCTGGCTTGGAGAATTTTGAGCATTACTTTACTAGCATGTGAGATGAGTACAATTGTGCAGCAGTTTGAGCACCCTTTGGCATTGCCTTTCTTTGGGATTGGGATGAAAACTGACCTTTTCCAATCCTGTGGCCACTGCTGAGTTTTCCAAATTTGCTGGCATATTGAGTGCAGCACTTTCACAGCATCATCTTTTAGCATTTGAAATACTTCAAATGGAATTCCACCACCTCCACTAGCTTTGTTTGTAGTGACGCTTCCTAAGGCCCACTTGGCTTCACATTCCAAGACATCTGGCTCTAGGTGAGTGATCACACCATTGTGATTATCTGGGTTGTGAAGATCTTTTTTGTATAGTTCTATGTATTCTTGCCACCTCTTTTTAATGTCTTCTGCTTCTGTTAGGTCCATACCATTTCTGTCCCTTATTGAGCCCATCTTTGCATGAAATGTTCACTTGGTATCTCTAATTTTCTTGAAGAGACCTCTAGTCTTTCCCATTCTATAGTTTTCCTCTATTTCTTTGCACTGATCACTGAGGAAGGCTTTCTTATCTCTCCTTGATATTCTTTGGAACTCTGCACTTAAATGGGTATATCTTTCCTTTTCTCTTTTGCTTTTCACTTCTCTTCTTTTCACAGCTGTTTGTAAGGCCTCCTCAGACAACCATTTTGCTTTTTTGCATTTCTTTTTCTTGGGGATAGTATTGATCACTGCCTCCTGTACAATGTCACGAACCTCCGTCCATAGTCTTTCAGGCACTCTGTCTATCAGATCTAATCCCTTGAATCTATTTGTCACTTCCACCATATAATCATAAGGATTTAGGTCATACCTGAATGATCTAGTGGTTTTCCCTACTTTCTTCAATTTAAGTCTGAATTTGGCAATAAAGAGTTCATGATTTGAGCCACAGTCAGCTCCCAGTCTTGTTTTTGCTGACTGTATAGTGCTTCTCCATCTTTGGCTGCAAAGAATATAATCAATCTGATCTCAGTATTCACCATCTGGTGATGTCCATGTGTAGAGTCTTCTCTTGTGTTGTTGGAAAAGGGTGTTTGCTGTGACCAGTGCATTATCTTAGCAAATCTCTATTAGCTTTTGCATTTCTTTGATGACTGGTGAGTAGAGCACCTTTTCAGGTACTTGCCCATTTATAGGTCTTCTTTGGAAAAATCTTTACTCAGATTCTCTGCCCATTTTTAATAAGGTCATTATTATTATTTGCTATTGAATTGTAGAGTATTTATCTATTTTGGATACCGACCCATTATCAATACATAATTTGCAAATATTTTTCCCCAATCAGTAGGTCAGTCGCCTTTTCATTGTCAATGAATGGTTTGCTTTGCTGTGCAGAAGTTTTTAACTTTGGTGGAGTCCAACTTGCTTATTTTTGCTTTTGTTGCCTTTGCTTTTAGTGTCAAATCCAAAAAACCATCACTAAGAGTGATGTCATGGAGCTTAGCACCTACATTTTCTTCTAGGAGTTTTATGGTTTCAGGTTTTACATTCAAATCTTCAACCCATCCTGAGTTACTTTTTGTGTGTGGTGTAAAATAGTGGTCCAGTTTTATTTTTTGCATGTGACTATTTAGTTTTCCCAACACCATTTACTGAAAAGACTGTCTTTTCCCCATTGCATTTTCTTGTCTCCTCTGTCATACATTGATTGATCATATACACATGTGCTTATTTCTGGGCTCTCTCTTCTGTCCCGTCAATCTATGTGTCTGTTTTTATGTCAATAAATACTGCTTTGATTACTATAGCTTTGTAGTATAGTTTGAAATTAAGATGTGTGATATTTCCAGGACAGTTCAGCTGCTCAGAGTATGAGGAGGGTACAAACAGTGGGCTCCTGCCAGGCTCACCTGTCCTGGCCCAGGGGACCTGGTCAGGGAATCTAAGGAGGTCAAGGTGGGGAAGAAGAATTCAGAGGAAAGAGAGGTGTAGATCAGGACTGTGTTCCCAAGATGTCCTCTAAGGCTGAGCTGAACTCCAGCAGAGTCGATGGCCCTCTGATCTGTGCCCCCAAGAAACAACTGAGCTCATCTTGGTCTCATTCTCCAAGAAAGGGACCAACTTGGTCTTAAGGAGAAAGGGAAGCAACAAGCAGAGTCCCATCTCACTGAAATGCATTGTTGAAACATCTGAAGCTCTGAATACAAATTCTAGGAAGATCAGCCTTTCTGGGCGGTATCTAAGGACATTTCTAACTTCTGGGAAAAGCCTTGTGCCAGAGCAGAAAGCAGGTCTCGCCAGGTGACCTCCCGCCCTGTTTCATGTCTTTAGACATTCTCCGCGCCATCTGGAGCCGCAGCAATAGAGGACGCAGTTTCCCCTCTGACTGTTGTGTGTTGTACAGGACACATCCCTTGTCCTGGACATCTGTGGGCACACACCCCCTGACCGGTCCACAGCTGGCCTTCTCCTCACCCCTGGTCACTGTTGCTCCTGCATGGACACTTTCCTCCCAGGAAACCACCACCCAGCACAGAAGGTTAGATGACCCAGTGATGTTTGTCCCACTTGGCTTTTATCACAAAATGGAATTGTCTCTGTCTGTCAGTCCAAGATGACACAGGACGGGCAATGTCCTGCGCTTTATACTAAGCGCAGCACCAAGAAACCTGAGTTGTGGGGGTGGGCAAACGTGACCTTGAGACCAACAGCAAAGGAACAGACCCCTGAAGGGTTCATGCACTGGGCCCTTCCTCTGGCAACCGGAGGGCCACAGAGCGGGCCGGGAACCCC